ACAAAGAAGAGCAAAGTGTGGCGCGGTGCCACAACCGACTTGAGGTGTTTGCGTTTCCACAAGCTGAATGTTGTCGTTCTCGCCCTTTGTTTCTTTCTCTCTATTTCTGTTTCGTTCTGTCTCATGCACAACGCCTTACGTTTTAACTTTAGTTATCGAAATGTGTTGCTCCTGTCTGTGTTTAGGAGACAGACTGACCCGCGGAGGTTATGTTAGAATGTGATTACTTCGCAAACAGCGTTGTTTGTGAGATGCTTGATGGCAGTTAACATGGCGTAGCAATTTAGGCTAGTTGGCATAGCCTCATTTAAAACCGAGCACAACGCGAAGACACAAGGAAGAGTTATGACACGAGCTCTTGGGAGTTCCTTCTTGCGTCTTAAGTCAAGATGGGAGCCGACAGATGAAAACAACTTCGTGGGATATTTAGGGATAACAGTGACCTAACTTTTTCAAAGGTGCCGTGTAACAGGGATACGCGCCACCACCAGTAGTTGACGTCACCACTAACCCCTTTAAAACTAACACGCCAAGAATGACACGGCGCCTTTAAAAAAGGATAAGTCCTCCTATCGAAACGCCGGCCAGCCAGTCTGAGGCACTTCCACTGTTAACCCTGATGATCCCACTTCTTGGGTCTTGGTGTGATTGTCAGTGCGCTGTTTGAAGATAAGGCAGCGAACGGCAATCCTTTATCGTGATACATGTTTCATCTGAACCCAGTACGGCCGTATTTGCTCCACTGTAACTCTATTAGTGATGGGGATGGGCGTACATTTCGGACACTCGCGTTAAACTTTTACGTTTAACTATATGTCATGGTACACTGTAATATTCGCGACTTCGTGTTAACGCAAGGGTTAACGTGCATTAATTATTGTTATTATCGAACAATTAACTGAAGCAATAGACCATCACTGTACAATCTCGGAGGCGAGTCTGGACATCGAACCAGTAAATTAGAACCACCGAGGAGACGAGTATATATCAATATAGAAATCTTCAAATAACAAGGAGCTGAGCAAATTGGTATACGTTTTCGTTCTAAAAGAGACAGAGCGTGCTAACACGCACACAAGGAAGAAGTCGTCTGAGGCAGTGTCCTGACGGGATTCTTGTGTTTTCAAGCCCCATCTTCTTTACGATAGAAATATTAAAAGTGGACACTCGCACAATAGGTCTATGTAGGGAAAGGTTTGTGTATACGCATCATTGTTGTGTTGGTGCAAGTATGCTTAGAAAAATGGGGTCAAAAAGCATAGCGGCGATATACTTCAGATTCATATATTGCCGCAATATGAAAAATGATACGGCATTTACACTGCTGCATTGCATGTTTTTTAGCCTTACTATGGAAATATATTTTTAAATAATTACCCCAGAGAGTACAGAGTATAACTGGTGCTCTTAGTTGTTTTTTTTTCAATTAATGTCATTTCGATGGGAATGCTGTTTTTGCGCACTGAAATATCTATCTGAGTAGTTCTCAGAACATTACATGATGCGCAATTCTTATTGCAGCAAGGTAGGACTACCCTTGTGCAAGAGGAATTATTCTTATGCACTTTTTTGCAGCACTTAGAAAGAGAAGCACCATGTGATGAACCACCTGTATACATCGTGATCCCCAAATAATAACATGTGAGGTTTTAAGCTTCAAAACCACTATATCCCGGAGGCTGGCACTCGTGCTTGCTGTCATGTCACCCAGAGACCTAAAATCACTCCTTGAAAATACTTTATGGAACCCGACAGTTCCGAAACAGCAGTGCAAATCATATTTGTTCCGTGTTGTGCACACCAAGAACACAAAAAATTAATGAGGAAAGACATATTATGCAAAAATCTACTGAAACTGGAATACATTAACACTGCGAAATTTCGGTAGACTTTAACTTCCTGTAAAATACGCAGGCAGAACTTCGCTGTACTCATGCAACGGAAATAAACCACAACGAGCGAATACATAAGTTATGCATTAAACTGACCTTGTGGACATCAGATGCGGCGACTTTTGTCTTTTTTTCTTTGTTTCTTTTTTGCAAACATGCATTTTTAGCGAATTTGATTGATTGATTTGTGGGGTTTAACGTCCCAAAACCACCATACGATTATGAGAGATGCCGTAGAGGAGGACTCCGGAAATTTTGACCACCTGGGGTTCTTTAACGTGCACCCAAATCTGAGCACACGGGCCTACGACATTTCCGCCTCCATCGGAAATGCAGCCGCCGCAGCCGGGATTTGAACCCGCGAGCTGCGGGTCATTTTTAGCGAAGTACCCACTGCCCGTATGTCATTCAATACGCACACCTACGTACATGTGAAGTGTGTTGATTTTGATTAACATGATGATGACGACGACGACGAAGAAGAAGAATGATGGCTGAGCCCTTCGTAAAGGATGGGAAGCTTAACGGCACTCAGTGAGGCAATTCACATGGCGTGACGCCTGGTCCAATTCTGAACCTCTGCCACGCAATACGGCATCTGTCAACGTAGCTCCTCGCCGAACACAATTCATGCATCTTTCAAAATCAGTTTCAAGCAGTGGCGTCACTTCGTGGCAGAACGCTCGACTACCACGCCTGGGTTCATTCCTCGTCGTATGCTGATATTTATCTGATATTTTTAAGGTAACCTGGGTTTTTGTACTGCACGCCATGTTTTTCGAGGCCAGTGTTTTATGAAGCTAAAGATTATCGCTTTCATAAAATAATACTATTCCTACCTCAAAACACACTTCCGTTCACGCATTAGAATTTAAATAATTACCCTACTGACATTTCTAGCGTAATACAAAAGTTGTCCCGGTAGCGAGAATATTACAACATTCAAACACCTCATTTCTCTTCTTGACACAACCAGAGGAGGGAAGTGGGGGATGTGGTTTGAATTATACCAACTCCCCTCGGCTGTGCTTGTGATAGTATAATACGTGTTGTCTATATTCGGTACAACACTTAAAAATGATAGCTATCGTGATAAAACAAGCGCAAAACAAATCACCACTTATTTCGAGCTTTCAGGTTATGTATGTTAGAGCTATTGACGTTGAGATTTTAGCTTCTAGTAAAATCCCCGCTCTTTCGCTTACCTTCTCCTCTTTCTTCACTCTCCCCTCAGAACAGGGTAGCGAACCGGATGCTGCAATTCTGGTTGACCTCCCTGCCTTTCTATAAATTTATTCTCTCAGTATTTAACCAGCGAAAGCTGAAACGCGTAGCCCGGGTGTTTATCAGTGGGCTCAACCCGACGTGGCACTGAAGCCTTTCACAATTATTGGTTACATATTCGTACTTTTTAATCAGGTTTCACACACGTTTGGCTTGGGTTTACCAGAGTGTTTATTTACAATGCAGCGAATTGTGGCTCGCATGATCACGGTCATGGAGGAGTGCATAAGTGGTCAAATGCGTCTCGCTATGGGCTAATCACAGTGGTTGCTCTCGAACGACAGGCGGTGACAGACGACGCAGCCGAAGCCAATGCGAGTCTGGAGAAACTCTCACTGAAAGAGGCCGTTCGCCCCGGCGAACGCATGACTAGTAATAATATAAAAATTGTGACATGTTAGTCATGAATGTCATGATTTACATTTGTCTTGCTGCGCTTGCGGTTGTTTCATTCACATGACACATTGCAAAACTGACATGGGATGACATGACTGCATGGCGAACATAAAAGTGCAGACCCTAACGTGGAAATCATGACATGCATGTCTTGTAATTCATGACTACATGCCACGCTCGTAGTGCGCACACGGTTGTTTCGTTAGCTTCACATATACCAAATTTTGTAATACAGGACGTTAATGGATGATGAAGATATATGACACTTCCAAACGTGATAATTATGACATGCGTGTCATGTAAAACATGACTACATGCTACGCTCATAGCGCACTCGCAGTTGTTTCGCTAGCTTCACATGTATCAAATTTGGTAAGGCGTGATGTGAATGGACGATGAAGTTAAATGACACGTCCAAACATAATGATCATGATATGCGTGTCATGTAAAACATGACTACATGCTATTCTCATAGCGTGCTCGTGGCCGTTTCGCTAGGTCCCTACATACCAATTTTGTATCACGTGACATGAATAGACGACGAAGGTAAATGCACGCCCAAACATGATAATTATGACACAGAAGTCATGTGGAGCATAATATACGTCCGCCTCGTAACGTTGTGTTGACTTTCAAGCGACATATCAACATTCCTTATTCGTGCTTCACGTATCGTCTATTCCCAGTCTACGTGGGATCTGCAAATTTTCTTTTGTGCCTGGGCTGCACCATCGGCCCGGCAAATGCGAGCTCTATCCCGTTTCTACTGTCAGCACTCTTCTATAGAGTTGTCCGTGACATACCGATGTGGAGGGTTTCAGGAGAAATTAATGCGCGCGCGCTCGGGGCCACTGCTGCGACAGGATTGGTGACATCACTCACAATGCAGTCATTGGCGCGCGATCTTCGGTACGACGCAGCGAACAGCGCAACTGGTAACAAAGGCAATGGAGACTACTCGTGACACCGCTGCCGGGCGGTTTATTGTATTTCATAGCCATATAAAACTTTTGTTGTAAAAAAATAGACACTTGTGTGTGTGTGTGTGGGGGGGGGGGGGGGCAGTTCGACCCGGCCTCGGCCACGGCATGTCTATAGGGCCGGAATGCAAAGAACATCAAGGACCATAGATCGACGTAACGATTGAGATAAAAAACCTGTAGTTCAAGAGCGTCAAGAGATCGTCAATAATCACAAATTTCTCACATTGGCGTATCTCATATTAATACCGTGCTTTTGGCATGTAAAACCCCTAACGATGTAGAACCTAGCGTCCATATCCAATGTGAGGACAACATTTCATGCCCAGGTTGGTACCAGGCGACCTACAACCGCTGTATTTTGTCAGATGCTGCGGTTCTTCATCTCAACATGACATTTTGGTGCACGAAACGTAAAAGCTGAAAATACGTTGAATCTGAAACTGACCTCCTTTCCAGAGAACACCAGCCACAAAAGGGATTGCGGGAAGCGAGGCACGATTCACAGGTCTCGTACTGCTGGCACTTCTCGATGCGAACCTTGCTGACCTGTTAAAACAATCGCTTGCCGTCACCGCAAGACTTGTAACACACAGGCAGAACATCGAGAACAATGTGTCTTACATAATAAGTGATGTAGCTTTTCGGATGAAAGAGAGAGACAAAAAAATAACTTTTATGTTCACCCCTCGAGAATGACAATGTTTCTGAGATGCGACTCAAAATGTTTTTGGATAGCATTCAAATATCTAGGCACTATATGCACATACTTGTATAGACCTTTGCATCGGGCGAGGAGGTCTGGTCTGGCAACAAATGCATTTCTCCTCTCTGGCATGCGGGTGACGGCTTGGAGTGTGTGGGTTGATGCTGGTATGTGTGGCATTATCGGGCAATTTGCCGTGTATTAAGCCAATCTGCGGATTTCGTTTTTCTTCATTGCTATGGCGGCCAAGAATTGGTGATCAGGGAACCACTGCACGGTTTTTGGGTGCAGTAACAACTACAGGAAAAGGAAACTGCTGTTGGAAGAAATATGCCATGTGCATCACCAGACGCGAAGTTTTTGTGGCTGTGCACTCTTCAATTTGCATCGTTGCCCTGTTGACGAAAACCAGCGGCTTCTATGGCTTGTAAACTTGAACAGGAAAAACTTTGTACCTTCCGCGGGTACTCGGGTATGTTCAGAGCACTTCTTCTCACGCGAAAGAACCGCAACGACTTCGGCACCGATGCTCAACCTTGGCTATGAACGGAAGGTACGCAGCCTACAGTTTTTCTAACGATGACAATGTTTCCCCGATAAACAACCCTACGTAAGATTTCTCTCTATCGCAGTTTAAAGTACTACGGCACTGGGAGTCACTCAAATATTGTGATTAAAAAATATAAGCGGGGGATGCGCAGGCCCGTCAGCGTCGTTTGATGCAAGAACTGTATTGAGAGTGGAGAAACAATTTAGACAACAGTTAGTGTGCAGTTAACAAAAACCATCAGTGCCTCGAAATAAAGAGGAACCGCTACACTCCAACGCATGGCTTCATGCAAGAGCGGCAGTCGATGCGACAGCGTGGCGTAAAGAAATCATTTTAGAAAAGCGGAGGACTACAGCTCAAGAAAGATTGTCGCTATGCTCTCGAGGTATTGTTGCTGATCCTGAAAAATAAAGAGCAGAAAATATTGCGCATTTTTGAGCAGAAAGTCGGTGCTCTGTATATACTGCAACGGCAAAGGTAGACTCGTTTGCGGTACTGTATAATAAGTAAATTGGCCTTCAATACTGCAACGGCAAAGGTAGACTCGTTTGCGGTACTGTATAATAAAACCCTCAATAAATTTAACCTTGTCAGAACGTCTCATAGACTTATTTTCTAGAGAACCTGCATCTTTGCAATCGAAATTCACCACGTAAAAACTAAAAACAATGGTAATACCGCCACAGCGCGCTTACCATCTATGCAAACAGCAAGCTTCCCGCATGCCAGATGGGTTGCCAGACCAGAAAAGGGCCGCCCGTTAACGAAATGACGGCGCCCACGAAAAAAAAAAAAACGCTTATACGTAGCTTCAAGCTACAGCGACCACTTTCTTTGTATGCTCACTGCCCTTAGAACAATTCTTCTTTTGCTCTGGCTAAATGTGAATCCGTTTGCTATACCTGTCTAGTCCATATGTTATCTATTAGGTCGGTCGGAGAGATGCACTAGTGAAGATAAAGGTAGAGAGGAAACACTTTCAATAACCTCTTTAAGCAAGGACAGTGCTGAGTCATGCTTCCACATGAGTTGCCAAAGATCATTCAACCTCTTCTTTTCTGCTCATTTACTAAGTAAGGGTGTCAACCTCTCAATATGCTTGCAACTTTCTCTAAAAGATGTTTAATTGGACTGACAGTGTAAATAAGGTTATTTTTGATTGGTTCTCTCATATGACATAGTGTGTCTACATGCAGTTTTTGACAAGTGACCTCATTGACTCTGCTCCATATGAACCACACTGAATAACTTGAAGCTTTTCCTTTCGCTCCTTCTCCCTCTGTGCAGGGCCGCAAGCCAAGTGTGTATGTAGTCAAGGGACCGTGAATTGATTATTTTGGTAAGTAACCTTGTGTCCCCTTGCCACCATTCACTATTGAAAAGAATGAGCCGTATTCAATGCAAACAGCACATGTAAAAACATTATCCAGTAAAAATAGGCAAATCCTAAAATAAGGATCTAACAAATTTTGTTGCATCGGGCGCCTATTTTTCTCATATCTTTTCATTATTTACGTCGGTTATTAGGGCTTTCCTTATTCCTTATACTTGAATTGCCAAACTCTGTCGATATAAGATAATGGCAAGCCATGCTTCTCGCTACAAATCAAGCCAAAGTAGAGAAACCTCAAACAAGAAGAAAGAAAGCGTGGTACTTTGAGCATCTGACGAAAACAAAATACGGCAGAAGTGCTGCAAAGGTCTTATTTATCGCGCGCGTGTATATGAAGGAAAAAGAGGAATGCAAGTAGCGCGTTGAGCGTGAGAGGCGGGCAACTTTTGCATTCCCCGAGTGGAGTTTCAAACGGAGCTGCGCTCGGTGGGTTCCGCGGCTAAGAGCAGAGCCGTGTTGAACCTGACACGCTTCGCGTGGGCGGTGCAGTCAGTGTTCGCCGCTTGACCGGGCCTAGCTGTCGGGAAAGAGAGGAGGCCGTCCATTAGGCACCGCGCGGCGCTTTGTCGGCGCTCTCCTCGGACTCTTGGACACAGGTCAGCGAAGAGCTTTGTGCTGCACTGCGCCAGAGCCGCGCACCAAATTTAAAGGGACACCTTGCTTCCCTTCACAAGTTCTTCTTTCTCCCTCATACGCAGTCTCTTTGTTGACACGCGTACTACTTTTTTTTTCTTTCTTTCATTGTGACCAGGCTTCGCTGACTAAAGTTGTTGCACGTGTTATCACTCAGTGCGCGCCTTGGCTGAATGTTCTTGAACTTTTTCGAGTAGTTTTCGAATTGAACAAGGGTTGATAGGTGGTCTAGTTTGTCTCCTCTCTTGTGTCCCGTTAGTTTGCACTCCCAATGTTACGTTATGAACAGTTTTGGAATATTATTTGAATGCTGTGTCGTGCCACCGATACACATACGAGTCAGCACACTTACTGAGGATTTCTTTCTTTTCTGCCCTTTCCTCCTCTTTCTGTCTCTCTCTCTCATCTTTATGCCCCCCCCCCCCCCTTGCGTATGGTAGCCAACCAGGCATGTGCCCAGTTAACCTTCCTGCCCTTTCTTCTGTTTTCTTCTTTCCTTCCTTCCTTCACTAAAACTGTGCAGTGTTACGTCAGTCGCGGCTGATGGTAGCCAATGGACAACTTACGTCACCTAAGCTCTCCGAGCGGCACACTCGCTTTCATACTGCGCTATCGTGGCTATGCATTCGCTGGGTTCTGGCTCAGGTGGCGAAATTTAGGTGGTAAAATTATTAAATTGATCTCGAAGATACGGCCGCCAAGACGCAGGCTCCCTAAACACAGCAGAGCACGCAAAGTTTACTGAGTGTGCTGGGCTGAACAAATATATGCAGGGTAGGCTCTGCTAGTAAGTTTTTTTAAAAAAACTCTTCGTTACAATAGTGGCAGTGTGGTCGGTGGGACTGCTTACGACATAGGCGTGCAAATGAAGATGGGAGGGGGGGGGGGGGCAAAACCGCCAATATGTAGACTGAGTCGAACATCTACAACTATTTTAATCCGCGCGAAACACATGCTGTTTGACGATAATGGCGACAGAGTACAGCCGTATGTTAAATTCGAGAAACTGTTTGCATACCACTTTTAGCACCGGAAAGCCGGAGATCAATGGAAGGTCGTTAAGAGAAGCATGCCATCGCTTCATTTGCATAGTTAATTAATGGAAGAGTTTAATTTGGTTTTCTTTTCTCTGTCAGACTCGACCAACCCGGTTTTGGAGGTGGGCAGATGCTGCTTATGAGTAAGATTCGATGATCGTGAACTCCGTTTACAGCGCACTCTAGAAACACGGACACTAGGAAGGAGCAAAAGAAAAAGAAAAGACGGCGCTGTGTCCTTCTTGTGTCCGTGTTTCCAGCGTTGCACTGTAAACCAAGTTCACGATGAATCCCATCCAACTGGCCCAAATCTGTAATGTAGCGCAAAAAAACGACAAGACGGCCGCAAAGAACGACACACCACAAGCGGTTGTAGTGTGTGGCTCTTTGTGTCCATCCTGTCGCTTTTTGCGCTACGTTGTAAATTTGATCCAGCGCCAACTAGCCCGGGATCAAGTCGTTCTGCACAACTGGTCCAACTTGCCGTATTACTGCGAGTTTCGATGATACCTGAGCAAATATACGAAGCTTGCCATATTCCTCAGCACTAGTTTTCTCATGTTCTGATGTAACCTAAGCGGGCTCCACACTACAACTTCCTCCTGTTTTTAATGATAACTCTTTTTGCACAGTTGAACTGCTTCTATGAGGTAGCCCCTCGTCAGATATTGAAACAACTGATGAATACACGTGATCCTTTATATTATGCTGATAGCAGCAGATGCGGATTCTCACTTTCTATAGGCACTTTTCATGACTGCGGAGTGATTACAGATATGCCTAACCTCTATTGGCAAGCATTTTATGTGTCGCAGTTCCTCGTGCGGGCTTCTCCGGTAACACATTTTAGGCACCAAAGCGCTAAAAGGACACAACACATGGGCTAAACAAACACCACAATTTTAAACTGAGGCAACTTCTTAACAGGCTTTCGTCTTCAACAGTGTGTGTTGTGTTCCGCCTTTTTCGTGCTTTCTTGCTTCAGCACCTAAAGATTGTTTCTATGCGCTACCAACAAGGCTGTACTTCTATATCTTGCAAGCTTTTCAAACTTTCGTAATGTCTCCTCAGCCAAAGATTACATGCGCCGGGCGTATGCATACATGCTTTCAGAAGGGGTAAGTCATATTTTTTGGGTTTCTCATCCTTGCTAAAAGTCTACGCTAAGCTTCTCAGTATCGTTATACTTTTAGCTCTCACGTACAGTAATAATTCGCTTTCCTCGAGTTGACATTCCACACTGTTACTAAAATCCTAATGTCCTCAACAAAATCTTCACCATCGGCAGCGTGACAACGCCCACTGCAGGACAATTAACTGCCTCTCCCATGTTCCGTTAGTCAATTCAGTTCTGTTCTTGCTGCTGCCACTTTATACTCCAAACTTATTAATCTCTTCTGCCCACCCAACTTTTTGTCTTCTCGTCACCCGCTTCCTTCTCAAGAGTGTATCTTGTTACTCCCAACCAGTGGTCATCTTGCCTTCCTAGTACGTGCCCTGCTCATGACCATTATTTGCTCTTGATTTAGACTAAGTTGCTTTTAACGCGCGTTAGTTCCTGGACCAACTTCCCTGTTGTTTGTTCCTTAAGGCTACACACTTCGTCTTGTTTTTTGTAGTTAGCTGCGTGGTACAATGTTCAAGTTTAAGTCTTTTTGGTAATTTAAAGCCTGTAGTGCTACGAGGGCTGTTTGTGTTTCCTCTTACTCAAATTATTGCATGCTGTTGTAACGTACAACACCTTCATTTCGTTATCAAATGAAAAAGTAGGTCACCATGGTCGTGCTTTACTTGCCTTGTAGATAGAAACAGCGAAGAGAAAGTTCTGAGTAGCGTCCACGTATATCTGTGGAATAATCTTGTGCCCGGGATCTAATGGCACTTGCTCAAACTCTTCAGCAGCCGTGGCTCCAGTAACAAGAATCTGAGAAAAAGAAGAAAAATGAGCGCTGTCAAATATTGCTTTCCAAAGCGGATAACCACAGAAGCACCACATCATGAGTCGAAGGCAAGACAGCATATATGTGCAAGGCAATAGATGTTGTTGTTAATATTTGATGTGTATAGTAGCACTCAAAATTTACGTTTACGACCAAGTGCACCAGCATGTAGTGACACTGTACGCAAACAAAATCAGCACGAGTATTCAATGCCGTGCTTTGAATAAAACGTGGAACTAAGGCGGTAACACGATGTGCAAAAGCTGAATGCAATTGACTGTTTCCGTATTGAGCCAATATTGAGCAGCAGAAATTTCAGTTTGCTGCATGGTCTAACACACGTATGGTCACATAGTTCCAATGGCTTTGCACTTCGATGATTAATATGTGGGGTTTAACGTCCCAAAACAATGGCTTTGCACTTCCGCGCACTAGCTTGAAACCAACATAACCTGCTCTCTGATGAGCTTAAATGACATCGTTTCTCTGTTGAATTAGTGGTTGCTACTATCATTTGGTGGCAGTCAATGTTTCAAGGCTAAAACAATTCGATTAACTTTAATTAGATAACAAATACTAACAATTTTCTTATGCCTATATCGTTATACAAAGATCAGTTAAATAAATAGGCTGTGAAAAGTTGAATTAATATAACAGCGGAAGAGTGCGTGTGGAACAGGCAATCACTGTAACAAAAATGCTGTCAGCGAAACTTTAGTTCATCCACATTTTATAACAGCAGCGGTTTCATTAAAGCGACCCTAAAGAGTAACACTGACTTGGCTTAGACTGGCAAACTGCATTCTGAAAACTCGTATGCCATATGTTTCACTATCATAGGTTCATTATTAGCCGTGATAACCAAGGTTGAGGGCTCTTTTTTTAAATATTTTGCGCCAAAATGACCGCACATGACGTCAAAAAATTCAAAATAGATTTTTGGTATGTTCGCAACTTTGGCTAGATGAAATGTTCCGATACCTGGTATGTTAGGTCTCTCGGTGCCGCAGATTACGACGTAGTTATTTTTTTTTTTCGATTTGAAGCTACGTTAGACCCAGTGGACAACTTCGAAATTTGTTACATCCCTGTGTTTGTGCGGGAATCGCTAAGTGGCATCGCCAACCACATTTTCCGTTCTCACGTTTTCTCGCTTACTAAACATCGTGTCACGGTAAGAGTGGAGTTTTCTGGATTGCGAAATCATATTTTACTAACATGCTTAAAATTGTTTAGTTGTTTAGTGTCCCTTGAATGTCATATAACTTTGTTTGTCACATGAAGCATTTTTACTCTGTGCCACCCGTACTATTCTGGTGTGCAGTGAAAGTGGTGATGGGTTTTCGAGTTAGATGTACAAGAGGTAAAGCGTACCTTCTTAAGGGTACCTTCAGCAGTTCCAACGAAGAGAACGTTGTGGTGCCCCACAAGAACAGTGGCCAGGGATGTCAGCGTGTCGTTGGGATACGTGATGGCAGCCCTTGCAGAAATCGGAACAGATCCATTCAGCTTTACTGTCTCATTGCAGAAGTTGAGGATGTTTCCCGCTTTCTGTAACAGTAGAAGGCAAACAGCATTATAGCTGTGTAATATATGCAAGTTGTTTTTCGTAAAATAATTTTGTGTGACCATTTTATGTGCTCACCCCGGGCTCCGGGCACTGGTTGATGCTTCCTGCGATATAGTCCATGTTTCTGGTGAGGACACTGCCATTGTAGCACATGTGGACATTCTCGGTGAACTTCTGCTCTACGTCTGTCATGGAGAACAAGCAAATGGCGGACCGACGGCTGGGCCTCGTTGTGTGGTCGGCGCTCACGACGAACAAGCCGACGAGAACTCGAGAGTCCGAGGAACCAGGCTCCAGTCCCAGTTCATCGGCAACGTCTTCACCGGCCGCCATGACACCAGCGTCGGTGAGAAGATTGTAATCCGTGCCTTCTGGGCCCAGGCACTGGAGAGTCACTTCGGTGTAGGTGCTGTAGGCCGGGTCCGAAGTGCAGACGCGGGCTAGTCGGCTGACGTAGCCCAGCTCTTCGGATGCCCTGCGTTGCAGCGGGATAACATGAGCATGCGTATGTGCTATAAAAGCTCAAAATATCAACAAAAAACACAATGCATTCTGACGTGTCGTTTCAATACTTGCATTCACTTTAGTTGATTGCTCACTCACTTTGCCCGTTATGCCTAAAAGAATGACCCAAATATGTTGCAATTCTAATTCATTGCCATGCCTTTTGCACACAATGCAAAACGCCGTCATACCATCAATAAATATTGAATCTGCCGCATTGACAGCACGTAATTTACTTGGCATTTCAAACTAGTACGCGAACTAGCAATAAAGAGTATTTTTGTTGCCATGTCTTGCAAACGGCGTCCTGATGGAGGCCACGCTGAACAGAACCGCACGCACGTACCTCAAGTGGCTCTTCCGTTGAACAGTGGCAAAGTAGGCGAAGTGCTCTGTGTGGAAGCCGTACACGTAGTGGACGAGGTAGTAATCCTTGATGTGATTTGCAATGTCGACGCGCGCTGTTGCCGAGAAGGACTGCTCGATGATGGCGAATAATGGTTGGTCTGACGAACCCCCGAGGGTGCCCCTACGGCCACCGGGTACGTCGAGGCTCCGGCTGCAGATGGACGGCACCATATCCCGGTACGGGCCCTGGCGACTATTGGTCGTGGCCACGTACATGACTCGAGACGGGCCTCGACCCCCGTGGTAGTGCGCCGGTCCCACAAACGCGTACGTGGACGAGTTTCGGTCGTTGGCCGCTACGGGAATTATGACGAGGGCCTCCTGCTGCGTGATGTCATCGAGGTCATGCCGGCGGCAGGCTCCCTGGTGTATGCTACCACAGGCGATCAGCTTGCGAGCCTTGTAATCGATGACCAGCACCTGGTAATGGGCAAACAGATGAAGTTGTACGATGAATAAAGGGATGATTATGACAAGAGAGTTCCTTCATGCGGTAAGTTATTGTTAAAGAAAAGCAGGGCGCAGTACGCGTCTGCGATTGATGAAGGGACAAAAAATATTGATTTATATTGTGTCCCTAAAACTCGGCTGATCCACTCGGGAAGTTGGTCATTTTTTGTCGCTTTGTACTGCACTAGTATCTGAATCTCATATTGATGAGACCTTTTCCTTCCTCATTTCTTCGAATAAGTATCTGCTTCATCTTAGCATACTTCACATATTCGAAGTATGAAGCTTCATGCCATAGTATGCTAACACCACCTGGCTGAATAAAGAGAAGCTTACATAAGTTACATTCAGGAGTGGCCTCGTTATTTCGACTTCTCTACCACAAACCTTTATTGGGAGTCATCAATTATTCATTCGTAGGCGTGCATGTGCAGTGTCACACTGCAACTAACTTTAAGGTGTTGGTGGCAATTTTTTTAACTGCGAAGCGCCTCAAGGGGTCGGGTGGTCGTGTCCTTTCACATGCAGTCGTATGCTCTGGTCATCGCTTGGCGTAAGGCCAGCAAATATAAACCACGTGTAGCATATATCAGTCTGTCGCATTGAGCATGCGCTCGCTTCGAAGACAAAACTTCTCTTTCGCGTGAGTGCACCGGACTGTTGTATGCTGTGGTCACTTGGAGTAACGCAGGCAAAACCACCTATATAAGAAAACAGGAAGCAAGCGAGAAGCAGGAAGTAAAGGGAAGGCGAATCTAGGGAAAAAATCTAAATAAAAAAGAAACCGGTAAATACCTACAAAATAAAGAAAGAGAGGAGAAAGGAAAGGAAGAAGTTGACGGGAAACAAAGAAGGCTTGGCAACTTTAGTGCGACGATGCGTAATTTATTTTAGCCACATAATTTGTCCAGCTGAGTGCGTCAGCATCTCCAGCGTACCTTGTTGATGTTGTCGGTGGGCTCGGCTTCGACGCCACTGCAGTCCGATGGGGAACAGAGCACGCTGTCCTCGACGGGCCCCGTCTGCACCGAGGCCTCGAGTTCGAGCGAAGCGTTGAACTGGTACAGCCAGTTGGTGGCGCCCACGTAGACGCGACCCGTGCCCGTGTCCACCACGAAGTGTGTGAAGTTCACCGTCTCGTTGAACGTGGTATACGACGCCAGCACATTGGGCAGCTGCTGCGGCGGTGATGGCTTCTTAAGGCCCGGTGGCGCCAATACTGCCGCGGCAGCGACGGTAGCCACAATAAGGGAGACCGCTAGCGTCGAGCCGATCGTTGTTAGGAAGAACGACGGCGTCACCCGACACTGTCGACATTCGTGACGGGCACTTCGCCTGCGGCGCGCAGGGCTGTCGTCGGAGCGCATGTTTTGGACACGAGGGGCCGTTATAGGCACGAGTTGTCTTCCGCAATTCACTCCGGCGGTTTGCCCGCGACGCCTAATTGTCGAGCGCTGGTGCACGAACGCATTTTGCCACGTGATCAAGTGGTGTGTGCTTTTGATTTCGTGCACCTGTAGGTCTGTCGGTGAACAGCCTGCGATGTATGTGTGAAAAGGGGGGGGGGGGGTAAGTATTTCAAAAACACATCAATTCAAACGCAAAACGCCGTACAAATGAATATGACATTAAAGGAACGCATTTTTTTCCTTTTAGGCCTTCATGTACTATAAATCGAAGTTCTTTCATATTCGAATGAACTACATACTTTGAGAATCTAGAAATTGCCACATATTGAATGAGACTACTTATTAGCTGTCCGAAACAGAGGCACTTTCTGCAGTAATAGCGTAACCTAAACACAGGCTTACATACTTTGCCATTCCATGCAAGACCTACACATATTAGTCGCTACACCGTCCACAAAAGTAGTACATCAAATGGCAGAAATGCAAAAGGTCACATTGAGAGGTATTGAGTATTGCATTATTCTCAATACAAGTTTCAATACGCACTTTGATAACTCCGCTACTTGCTTTCCAATTGTCCCGTCATGTGCCTTCACGTTATTGTTACAGAAAGACTCGTGGCCCCCAACCTCAATCTTCAGCCGCATATGAGGTGACAGCTGACTGTGACATGTTTGCGACGTCATAGATGTTGCAGACAGGAGGCAGTTGCGAGTACGTTCCACTCGAAATTCAATGCTTCTCTAGTTTTTTTTAAATCAGTTCATCGTGTTTTGAGCTTCACCATATAGAAAACTGAGTTGGTGAGGAACAAGCCGACAGGATTTGTCTTACCTCTTTCGGTCGCACTTCACGGCAAATACCTATAATATATTGATTTAAAATTTTAAGCTCATCTTCTTTATTGAACTTCAGCCAACATATTAGGTTTTCAGAAAGCCAAGCGTACATAACAAGTGGTTTCATGCTGGCTGTCAGCGCACGTTAAGTAGAAAAGGTTCATAGGGCGTATTTAAAGTGTCCATACAATTTGCGCATGTATAGCGAAAACTATTACTCTTTTACATCGAAAGCTGTTATGAGATTCCTTTTCAGGTCACGCGCAGTTGCATGTTGTCCGCCGCCGCCGCCGCCGCGGCTGGTGTTCGTAACCGCATAATGTGTAATTATAGGTTGACACAGTGACATGGACAATTCTAGGTTGACACAGGACAGCAGAGAATGAGAGATAGAAGCGAAAGGAGGTAAAACGTTGCACAGTTCCTGATGTGTTCACTTAATACGATACGAAGGTAAAAGAAAGCCACAGTCTTTTCAGTCGACGTATTGATACTGCTCCGCCACACTTCGAAAGCTCTCTGCATATAATGTGACCTTGCGCTGCGCTGCCATGAGATCGGAGACACCTCACGGGGCTTCAAATTGTCTCCTGGATCAAACCAGCTTTCGCCAAGCTATGGTGCCATGTGATGGTGTCATACTGAGACTGGCGTCACGTGACGTTACAGTCGACTCAAGATGCGTCAATATGACGTCCCAAAGTTTGGTGTCTGTGACATCATTATGGTACCATCGTGACGACAACAGTTGCCGACGCTTACGGTCAAGAGAGAAAGAAATAAGAAAAAGAGAGGTAAGGAGGTTAACCAGATGCTAGAGAGAGAAATAAAAAATAAGAGCAAAACACGGACACGCACGCACAGCCAAAATCAATCCACTCAGAGGCGTTCCGACAGGACAGTAGTTCGCAAGAAGCCCAGTAGCGCTTGCGCAGTCTTCTTTTGTGATGATGAGTCATGACGATGGCGCAGTACACTTTCTTCTGACAGCGGCTGGTCATCTAACTTGGTTAGTGCATTAGAAAGGTATTGTCTTACGAAATTATATTCGGGGCAGTCATACAGGACGTGTCGAATCGTCTCTTCATCTCCGGAGTGTGCACAAGTGGCGGTGTCGGCCATCCCTACGCGGAACGCGTACGCACGGGTAAACGCGACGCCGAACCGTAGTCTGCACATAGCAGTAGCGTCACCTCGTCGAAGTTTTGTTGGAAGCCGCAAGCTTAGCGTAGGATCAAGGGATTGTACTCTTTTATGCGTATAAAGAGGCTCATTCCAAAGTGACATGGAGCATTGGCGAGCGAGCTTGTGGAGCTTCCTAGCAGCGTCCGTCCTTGAGAGAGGTATTGAATGTTCTTTGTCTTCTGCATGGGCTGAGCGGGCAGCTTGATCAATCCGTTCATTACCGATAATTCCACAGTGACTTGGCAACCGCTGAAATATAACGTAGTGCCCTTTCTCTGTTATATAGTATATAGCATTTCTGCCGCCTCAAATACCGTTTGATGAGGCATCTAAAAACATGGCACGACTACGGCTTTCTTTTTTTTTTAACGAAGGTTATATATTTGTATGTGACGCAGGAAAGGCAAGGGTACTGGCTGCATAGACGCATTTGGCTGCACATATAATTCCACAGGCTGCTCTCATAAGGCCTACATAAGTAGCATCTCTGTTAACCCTGGCACGAGGCATAGTGTAAGCGTAATCTTGCTACCGGTGTACCTTATAGTCAGTGAGATATCCATCCTACAGCCACGTTTTGTCCTCATGTGTGAAATGGTCACTTTGTTATCACTTTGCTGCCTTGGTACGGCCTTTTATTTTATAGAATAAACGTATATCTAAAAAACTGAGTTTGCAGGAGTTGTTCTCAAAGTGAGGAGTCAGCGATATGAGATGACGGAAAGAAATTTCGAATAGAAGTAACGGCGCAAGTGTCGTTTTCACTCCGACCAAGGCGGCACTCTTTTGCGGGAAAGAAAGTGAAGGAATCAAAAGACCCCGCTCAGAATAATGGGGCACCACAGATCGAATTTTTCTTATCTTGGTTACATAGCACGACAGCTGCTATTGTTTCGAACGACTGATGCATTTTTAATATCCGATCGAAAGACGGTCCGGCCATTGCGCCAAACTTGGCTGTACTTTTCCCAATTTCCTCTACGTCTTAGGGTTCTTCGCTGGATGTGCTGCATCGGATTTTTTTTTTCACCTTGTGCTGTATTTCCGATCACACAGCTGCTGCTCTTTTGGGCGCGTTGCGTTTCTGCATCCTATTTATCTTCAGCTCACGTAAAACGTGCATCGACTTGCTCGCACGCTTCTCCCATATCCAACGAACACCTCGGGCTAACTCGACGTTTTGTCGGCCCACTACAACAATTCTTAAAAGGCGTTGCCAGCTTTCATAAAACCGCACTTTCTTTCCGTTCCCTCGCTTTCACAGATTCGCGTTTTAACTTCAAGTTAGTGCTAAACCTTAAATCTTCTTAAACGTAACAGCTGCAGGTGGCCGTACAACGTGATTATACCCCGAATATGGGTTATGACGAGAAGATGTATTGTTCACTGCCTTCTGCTCTCAACTGAACGAATATATTCAATTAAACTGAACTATCTCTATTTACCAGAAGATGCCCTGGCTTGAAGCTTTGTGGAATAAGCTGACGGGGCCTAGGGGACAGATGCCTGGTAACATGTGACAGACAAATTGTTGACGAGATCAAACCCCCCCAACACCGCATTAATTGGCAACCCCTTTGTGGTTGATTGCCACTACCGTGAATCGGTCTCTATGATGATCATATTGCGCCGCGTTTACGAAACGGGCACCTCCATCGAGATCCGCAATTTGGCGGAGAAGGGCCTGAACGCTCTTCTCCTTCCAACAATTCGTTGGGGATGCATGATCCGTGGGGCAGGCGAAACAATGATATTCTCCTTCTGATCCTTCGTCAACCCTTGGTACAGAGCCTCAATCTGAGCTGGTGGAATACCCATATCTATGAGAATCATTCTCCCCGCTTTTAAGCCAGACAGCCTAATTACCTGTGTGCTTTCTTGCACTTCCGCGACTTCTTCCAATGTGTTATGAATTCGCAACTGCAGGAGACGACCTGTGTTGGTGTAGTTGGGGAGCCCAACGACGTTCTTTGCCACTCTCCTAATCATTGTATTAAGCTTGTCTCTTTCCGGTCTCTTCCAAACATACATTGCCGCCACATATGCAAAATGACATAGCAGAAAAGCATTAATAAGCCTGACATAGTAGTGGGATGCACCCATTGTGACGCCCACCCGATATGATGAACCCTGAGTGCATGACACACCGTGGAGACAGAAGACCCCGACAGGCCTAACGTTACTAGAAGGACAGGCCTAGAACCCTTAAATGTGCTTAGAACCTAAAGTACGCAAACAAAAAAGAGCACTAAGTTCCACTCTTCATTCATTCATTCATTCATTCACTCATTATTTTCATTGCAAACTTTTTATACAATGCTAGGGGCCAAGAAAAAAGCTGCTGTAGGCAGCGTGAGGAGCTCTTGGCTTTCGTTCTCTTACTTTTAACTAGTTTTGTGCGAAGCTGTCTTTCAAGTTTCTTTTTTTTTTTTGCGTCTTGTCTTTACACTACAAAGCACCACTAGGCCGCATTTTCACTTTGCCTTCTTATGCCGAGCATACACAGGTCCATAAGTGATGAACCCCGCTCTCTTGTTTTTTTTCCGAGATGGCGCTCCGCACGTGTCCATGCAGCCAAACAACAAACAAGCCCACTCGAGAGAGTCTACGTAGAATAATAGTGCACGTAAAATATTGCTGAAAAAGCCTTACTGCGTCGAAGGTATATACTTTCGCGCCACCCTGAAGACCTTGTCCAGTGTTACGGCGCAATAAAGTCTCGTAAACAACGCACGCTAGCGCAGCAGCGATGACAAGAGCCACCCCGCTGCCTCATCAAACACTTAATATTTACCATCAAAATACGGAATAAACCGGAGAACACAAATAATAATCTTATCATAAACAAAGGGGAAACACGCGGAAGGAGATAAGTGAATAACGGTGGGCTGGATGCGTGAGCTTGCATCTATTCCAATTGCGTCAGCACGGGGC